GTTCATGCTGCTACTCATATTGCAGGTTCCGTAGTCAAGGAGAAGGTAGAAAGATATAATTTCAGCAAATCGCAAGGATGGAGGAAATAATACACATGGCGAAATCATATTTGTGTTAGTCTCTAGGGCCTGGGATAAAAAATGTCAGTGCTTAGATTGAGTCAAGTGCGCTTTGGTAATTTGGTGAATAGTGTGTAATATGGCGCTGTCGGCGAGGGTATGGAGAAAATCAGGATTCGGAAGTTCCTTTCATCCGTGGACGATACTGCATTGTGTGTGGCAGACTTGAGGCGAGGAAAATTAGGTTCACCTCGAAAAAGCACTGGCTATTTTCGAGATAGAGCGATGACAAAATATGCATTACCTTCAAATATAAACGCATTTCAAAATGATAATATCTCGTGCGTTCTAATTTAAGAAGTGTGCAATTAATAAGGCCTAAACTTAACCGCAGTGCGAAATTATGAAACATGTTTCTTAAGCAGTAGACTAAATTTGAAAGTTAAACGCATTTCATCATAATAATAATCATATTAGTAGAATATTTTGAATAAATTGGGTATTATATGGCTGGAACAAGCAATTCTTGTCTGGGATGAAACGTTACTGATTGCTAAGTAGGTCAGCGATGTTTATGGTAACTATTTTCCAGAATGCCGATAAGATTATGGTAGCATACCGCCCCTGCTTTAGAAATTCAGTGTTTTAACCTTTACGGCATTAATCCAAATTAGGTTCGAGGTTTATATCAAAATATTTTGAAAATGGATTAAAAGTTTTTGACGCAGAAATACCATTTGAATATAAGTTTCCAGGGAGGTGGCTATGTGGCCAATGTTTGGAAATTCCTTTAATCAGGAAAACACAGTTTCATGCAAGAAGAACATCCCGAAAACATCTGGTGTTGTCAATACTAAGGTGAGTAAAATTTCCGTTATGATTTATCTCCTCAAAATTCAATTAACATAAATATTCAACTGACGAACTTTAGTGCATATTATCTATTTTCAAGATAATGTCGAAATGAAAATAGAGCCCTTTGACAACATTTTTAATTTACCTGTACATAAACGATTCACTTCAACTGAAAATGAAAAAAAAATTCTTTGATCTATTATTAGCCTGCGAACGTAAAATAGGATGTCAATTTTTTTAAATAATTATTTTTTTCTGTCTCTTTCGTTTCTTAAGTACGCATAAGTGGTAACTTGTGCGTACAAAATCATATTTCTACATGATTTATACCTAGTATGATTTGTTTTGACCTTAAATGTCGCGATACTATATAACTAGTTGGTTTACGTTCTTCTCGAAATTGATGTGCTAGTACAGGATGCGCTCAAAACCCTTTTACTGCATTTTGGCAAAAAAACTTTTTTTGTTTCTTAAAGGTATGCGCTTTAAACTTCCCTTACTCATTTTTGGGTTCTCTCATGGAACAAGGCATATTTATAGTAATTTTGGTTTTGTCGTAGATGGTGCCTATGAAATTCACTCCATTTGATATCTCTCCCCATTTCGCCAAAGGTAATGTCCTCTTCCCTGAACAAAATTACACCAAATGGCAATTGACCTAACTGAAAAGAATTCGCAGAGTCTATTCAGTGGATCAAAATTCCGTCAACAATTTACCGAAACAGTTTCATCATTGCAATTTAGCAGATCTCCTGCAAAATAAGTAAGTGATATATATAACGCTTTAGAAGGTTTGGGACTAAAAAGTGGCAAATGTTGAGGATACGACCGTCAAGGCGTGTGATTATATGCCCATGACATTAAATACGTTGACTTTATAGAACTTAACTGACGTTCATCTTTGTATTCTCCTTGAAACTCTGTAGGGCACCTCTTTATTATGGAGGAAGTTCTTTTGTGCGTAGCACAGTCCATATGTTGTGCCTGTGTCAAATCAATTGCCAGAAAAACTTGCATTGAAAATCCGATTGACATCGACGAAACACTGGATATGGGAGGGGAAATGGAACGTAGCGTTGATGGTTATTTTTTTATTTCATTTATAACTAAACGCTTTTTACAATTGCCTATATTCTGCTATCACAGTTGACGTAAGTTTACTGAATTAGATCTAGAATATATGGCAGTGCTAAAATTTGCAGAATGGGTCTTGAGTAAAAATGCAGAGTTGTAATTTTTCAAAGATACCTAACTGTCTCATACTTGGCAGATTCTGGACCACACCAATTTTGT